AAAAAGGTTTCCCCTTCCCCCCCCCCCCCCCGAACACATTGTACATATATTGTTTAATATATTATTAATTGCATACTTTTCAGTGCAATAGTCTTAAATATTTCTTTTAAGAAAACAAATATTTTCCATTAATTTATGTTTGGAAAGACGTTTTCAAACATCATATTCATATTTTACTAAATTAAATTTGATTTTATCATTGATGAAACTCACTCTTGCATCAATTTTTTTTTTAATGTATAAAAAAAAATATTTAAAAAAAATTCTTTAGATTAAGAAATGCATTTAAAATATTATTTGGCTTCATCACAAATCAAAAGTGCAGCTGTGGAAAAATCTGGTTATGAATTTAACATGCCTTGGTAAACAAATTAAAAATTGTTGCTAAAAGCAACAAATACAATTTGTTTATTTGGTGTAAGGGGGTAAACTACTAATTTTTTTCATGGTCAGTAGAATACTTTCTGTGCATTCTTACATACGTTTTCTCTCACATGATGTTTGTGTTGATTTCTTATTGGAAGTAGCCAGTATCATTTATTGTTAAATTACCAGAATTAAAGGGATATAAGTATATACATAATGTTTAAAAAAAATATAGTTATGAAATACTTCCCAATCAGGTTTCTAACTCATTAAAAAAAACAAAATGAATTTTAAATTTGTTAGTAGTTTGCATATCTTCATAATTTTCCATTGTCATTTTGTCATTTTTTTATGTAGATTATATCTATTGTTTCAATTTTTTAAAACCATTTTCACTATTTAATTTGAGTAGTTAGTAAATATTTTACTTTTATGAAATTGCAGTCATTCAGTGATGAAATAAAAGACTTCAGATGTTGACATTATTGTATTGTCTTACATCAGCGCCCTCAAACTTTTTAAACACGCTGCCAGATCAGTGACCCCGGTCAGTGTCGAGGGCCGGATCAGTGTGCTTCAGACACTGTCGAAGGTCAGATCAGTGTACCTCAGACAATGTCAGGGGCTGGATTAGTGTGCCTCAGACACTTTTGGGGGCCAGACTATAGTTTGAAATAATATGATCAAATTCT